TAGCTTCATTTTTGCTACTGATAATTAACAATGATGAGATCTATATGTAGTTTTGTTTCACATTCAAGTCGTGGCTTTAGGGCACTTACCGGCCACCGGCTCTCCTTCCTGAGCTCGGTTACCCCTCGCTCCGCCTCCTCGAAGAACATCCTCGCCCTCTTGATCTGCCTCTTCATGAATTTCCTCCACTTGTCGGTGACGACCCCTTTGAAGATGTCTTCATCGGAGAGCTCTGCCTCTGCGAGCTCGTCTTGCGGCAAATATATCCTTCCTCTTCTTGCACTGGGAAATTATTCGAAACACCAGAACATTCAGGATAGTGCTATCTCAAAATGTCCATATCACGATTGTACAACGAAAAACCATTGCACTGTATTGGTAGTGAGTGAGTGGCTTACTCTTCTCCGACATCCCTGAGTATGTTGGTGAGCTGGTTCGCGAGCCCGAGAGCCAGAGCGGCGCCATAGACGCTCTCAGCCGTCGCCTTGGACTCAGGCGCAATGCCCATCACCGGGACACTCATCAGCCCCACGGTGCCCGCAACATAGTAGCAGTACATGTAGAGCTCGTCAAAGTTCTTGTACCTCGCCTTCTTGAGGTCCGTCCGCATCCCGTCCGCATCCCGTCGATCATGTCCTTGTCCTTACTACTGTACTATATATACATCTAAACACACCGTGAAAATTGGAAAGCAGTACACAAAGCACCAAGGCTAGCTAGCAATTAGCCAGCTTGGGCTTAGCTTCTGGCCGGCTACCCATCGTGTACATACGTACGCTTCGTCGCCATTGCCGCACGTACTCGTCAGATTGGGCCAACAGCAGCTGCCAAGCTCGGAGAGAAAAACCTAGCTAGCGGCCAGCATGGCACCAGGACCGCTGCCGGAGTATCATTTGAGAAAAAAAGGACCGCCGCCGGTCCTCCCGGACGAGCTCGTAGGAGAGATCCTGCTCCGCATCCCGCCCGACGACCCCGCCAGCCTCCTCCGTGCGTACCTCGTCTGCAAGTCCTGGAGTGAGGCCGTCTCCCAACGCTGGTTCCGGCGCAGCTTTCACAATCTCCATCCATCACCCACCGTGCTTGGGGTTCTTCATGACTGGCACGATGAGGCCATCCCTACCTTCATCCCGGCCACCGCGTCGCCGTTCTCCCTCGCCGCCCCCGACCGCTTGCTCTGGCAGGCCGTCGACTGCCGCCATGGCCGCGCCGTCTTCCTCTCTAAGGGCCCTACTGAGGAATTCCTGGTGTGGGAGCCAATCACGGGTGCCCAGCAGCGCGTACCTATCCCCGTGGCGTTCCAGTTCGGCAACACCACCGCAGCCGTGTTCTGCGCAGCTGACGGGTGCAACCACTACGACTGCCACGGGGGTCCCTTCTGCGTGGTCTTTGTCTTCTCCGTCTGTGATGAAGACGTCGGCTACGACCTATATGAGACGTCGGCATGTGTCTACGCATCCGAGACTGGCGCCTGGGGTGAGCCGACCTTAATGCACAACGAATTTATCGTGGACTTCATATATTATTCGAGCGTGCTTGTTGGGAGGTCTTTCTTGTACTTCATGACATGTGGTGGGTTTATCCTGGAGTATGACCTGGCAAGGCATGGACTGACTTGGTTCGACACACCAGACTCATGCCATTCTAAGGGTGAACCCACTTGCAACCTCATGCTAGCGGAGGACGGTGGACTAGGACCCGCCGAAGAATTGAATCCGCATCTGCAATTGTGGTCAAGGGAGATAGTGGATGGCCGATGGGTGCCGGGCCGAATCATCTACTTGGAAAGTTTGCCGTCCCTATATGGTGCTCCCGTGGGTGCACAATGTCCAATGTATGTGTTGGGCTTCGCTGAGGAAGCAAACACCATTTTCGTGACCACGGATGCTGGCCTCTTCGCAGTCCAAGTAAAATCAGGGAAGGCGAGCAGGGTGTGCGATGATCATGGCTACGGCAAGCTGATTCCAATCGCTGGCTTGTACACTCCTATGCCCAGAGGTGAGCACTTGAGAAAAGTGTCGGCTTCCAGTTGTTAGCTCTCCTTCAATGGCAACATTACTTCCCTGAGGGCGGTTAGCTTTGGGAGTTGCTGTTGAGTTGTAATAAGGTGACTGTCCTGTAGTACATGTACGTGTGTTTCCGTTGTAACTGTAGTACCTAGCTAGTCCTACGGCACCTCCTTCTCCTTGTACATTTATGTCCCAGCTGCTTGTAGGAGAGATGTGTACTCGACGCGTTTGTTTGACAACTGGATCGCTGTTTTTTGTTCTCCTCTTGTCCGATCGATGCGTTCGCCAACTACGGAGCTCGGATAATGCATGCGTGCGTGCCTACGTACTCTCTCTCTCGGATAATTTCGTCCGTTTTTGTCCGCCCGTCGTCCGTCCACTTCGCCCATATTATTTTTTATAATTCAAAGAAGTTTTGCTCCTCGACTTGGGCCTGCAGGCTAAGTTTCGCTCCTCGACTTGGGCCTGCAGGCTGTCCGTTCACCTCGCCCGCCAGTTTCGTTCATGTCCGGCTTCCTACGTCGTCACATGGGCCAGAATTTTCTCCTTATGCATATAATTAATAGTCCCACCTTGCTCCTTTAAATCAAATCCTACCATGTTATATACGTTCGTTTGCAAGAAGGCGACTGATAGGTGCTTTCGGCTGGTCCCGTGTGGGCCGTTCGACTCATAGCCGGGTGTAACACTGATTCCAGCAAAAAATCTCACAAAACAACAAATCTCTGTCAAAAAATGATTGTAGCAAAACACACAGCCATTTCTAGCAACAATTTAATCTGGTTCCAGCAAAAATCCTACAAACAACAAATGCAGCAAAAAATCGCCTCACCGCCACAGCTCAGGAAGAGAGTTTGGTTCCAGCAAAAAAAAAATCATTGGTTTCTAGCAAACAGGATCACCGGTTGTAGCACCTAGCTCGCCGAGCCCCATTACAAGCTGGGGGAGAAAGGCCGGTTCCAGGAAAAAAAAGTTGCTGCTTCCAGCAAAATGGATCACTGGTTCCAGCATCGTGGGATTGTGCTCGCTTGCCGCATGACCGTGGTAGCACTCCTCGTCTCGGGTGGCAGCACGTTGTACCGGTGGTTGCAGCTCCTCTGCGGCCGGTTGCAGTACGCGACATGGGGGCGCGGTGTAGGGAGATGCCAATTCCAGCTTGCCGTGGCGCCGCTGCAGCATCCCGCGGAGCGGGGGCCAGGGTGCCATTGCAGCTCGCCGGGCCGCCATTGCAGCATCTTGCTTCACGGATTCTGTCACCAGGAGGCGGATCTGCTGCCTTGGGCTCGCCTGAGGAGTGGAGAGGACAAGGAGGATCAGCGGTGGAGTCACATCGGCCGGGATGGGGGAGATGGAAGAGGAGGAGAAAGAGAAGCGTCTCGTGGAAGGAGAGAGGTTGAGCGGTCGATAGCGATGGGAAAGGATAAGGTTGACTGGTTGAGCTGTCACGCGGCGTGCAGGTGGCTTACTAGCGAGTATATCTAGCCAAACAGGCCGGTTTTGGCGGGCCGGCATATAGCCCGCGTGCTTGGCCCGTCATGGGCCGGCACGGCACGAGGCTACGTGGGTCGTGCCTGGGCTGCGAGGCCTGGCATGCGTGCCAGCCCGGCATGGCACGCCCAGTAACGGGCCGGCACGGGCACGGCCCAGCTTGGCACGCTTTATGTACGAGGGGGAGGGAGCGGGGCATGCTAGAGAGCCGCTGGGCTCTTCGATC